ATGGGAAACATGGAATAGCTAAAGTATATGGAATTCTCACAGATTTAGACACAAACACTAAACCATTGCACATTGTGAATTGGGAAAGAGACATGGGGGTGGTATTAGATGAAGGAAAACAGAAGAAAATAAATAGATTAGTTCACGGAAATGTAAGTTTGAGGGATGTGGAATTAAATTATAAATGTTTGACAAGATGGCACATTGTTCCGAGTGTAGAGGGTAAGATAAGTGCGGAGAAATCACAGTGGTGTTGGCGAGAGTGTGGGGAAGTGGGGACAGTTTATCATATTTGGTGGGAATGTCCAAAGATTCAAATATTCTGGAAAAAAAATAATATATTTAATAGAGAATATCATTGAAATGAACATCGGGTTAGACCCTGGGATGTGCCTGTTACATAGTTCAGACTATCAGTTAGTAAATATAAGAAATTAGGTTTAGGGTACTATTTGAACGCAGCAAAAAGCCTGATCCCCAAATATTGGAAGAAAAAAGAAATACCGAAAGAGGAGGAATGGATAGAGAGAGTAAACTGGACTAGGGAGATGGAGAAGACACATTACATACAGGAAGATAAGCTGGAGATATATCTCGCGAAATGGGAAAAATGGGAAAATTTTGTAACAAGTATGAGAAAGTGAAAAGTAGAACGGCATAGAGAATAATCGGGTAGGAGATGCTTGCTTTGGATACAAGTAGAGATGAGCGAATTATTCAAAAATTCGATTCGGCTGATTCGCTGAATTTCAGGAAGAAATTCGATTCGATGCAAATTAATTCGCTACGAAGTTAAACTTATAAAAAGGGTTTCTAGGCTTCAGAGAGCCTTTAAATTAGTGCAGAACACTGTACCTTTAATTTAAATGCCCTTGGAGATGAGGAAGGAGAAGGAGAAGGATGAGAAGAAGGAGAAGGAGAAGGATGAGAAGAAGGAGAAGGAGAAGGATGAGAAGAAGGAGAAGGGATGAGAAGAAGGAGAAGGATGAGAAGAAGGAGAAGGAGAAGGAGAAGGATGAGAAGAAGGAGAAGGATGAGAAGATGGAGAAGGAGAAGGATGAGAAGAAGGAGAAGGAGAAGGATGAGAAGAAGGAGAAGGATGAGAAGAAGGAGAAGGATGAGAAGAAGGAGAAGGATGAGAAGAAGGAGAAGGATGAGAGAAGGAGAAGGATGAGAAGAAGGATGAGAAGAAGGATGAGAAGAAGGAGAAGGATGAGAAGTAGGATGAGAAGAAGGAGAAGGATGAGAAGAAGGAGAAGTATGAGAAGAAGGATGAGAAGAAGGAGAAGGATGAGAAGAAGGAGAAGGAGAAGGATGAGAAGAAGGAGAAGGATGAGAAGAAGGAGAAGGATGAGAAGAAGGAGAAGGATGAGAAGAAGGAGTAGGATGAGAAGAAGGAGAAGGATATGAGAAGAAGGAGAAGGAGAAGGAGAAGGATGAGAAGAAGGATGAGAAGAAGGAGAAGGATGAGAAGAAGAAGGATGAGAAGAAGGAGAAGGATGAGAAGAAGGAGAAGGAGAAGGATGAGAAGAAGGAGAAGGATGAGAAGAAGGAGAAGGATGAGAAGAAGGATGAGAAGAAGGAGAAGGATGAGAAGAAGGACAGTTCTGTGACAGTTTCTGTCTATTTCTGACAGTTCTGTGACATTCACTCCATACAGCGGTTTCAACCGCTGTATGGAGTGAATGTCACAGAACTGTCAGAAATAGGCTATTTCTGACAGTTCTGGGACATTCACTCCATACAGCGGTTGAAACATTGTATCTATTTGTTTCCATAAATTGATCCATTTATGGAAACAAATAGATACAATGTTTCAACCGCTGTATGGAGTGAATGTCACAGAACAAGCCGGCAAAAAGTGTATTGCAGAGCTCCTCTAAGTGTATCTGCAGAGCTCCTCTAAGTGTATCTGCAGAATAGAGGAGCTCTGCAGATACACTTTTTGCCGGCTTGGAATTATTCTTATTTTCATCCTACTTCTTCTTCTTCTTCTTCTTCATCCTCATCCTCAGAAGAAGAAGAAGAGGATGAGGATGAAGAGGAAGAAGAAGAAGAAGTAGGATGAAAATAAGAATAATTCCAAGCCGGCAAAAAGTGTATCTGCAGAGCTCCTCTATTCTGCAGATACACTTAGAGGAGCTCTGCAGATACACTTTTTGCCGGCTTGGAATTATTCTTATTTTCATCCTATTCTTCTTCTTCTTCTTCTTCATCCTCATCCTCATCCTCTTCTTCTTCTTCTGAGGATGAGGATGAGGATGAAGAAGAAGAAGAAGAAGAAGAAGTAGGATGAAAAATAAGAATTCCAAACCGGCAAAAAGTGTATGTGCAGAGTTCCTCTATTTCTGACAGTTCTCTGACAGCTTCTTCACATGTACAGCGGTTGAAACATCTGTATCCTAAATGGAAACTAATAGATACAATGTTTCAACCGCTGTACATGTGAAGGAACTGTCAGAGAAATGTCAGAAATAGCAGAGCTCTCTGCAGGGACACTTTTGCCGGCTGATCGGGAAAAATCCGATTCGCGCACCCGAAAGTAGGCAAATATTCGGATTCGACGCGAATCGAATTTTTCCTGAAATTCGTATCGAATTCCGGTTCGCCTGGTTCGATTCGCTCATCTCTAGATACAAGACAAGGAAATGAAATATCACAGCTCCAAACCAGGGTGATAGTTATTGCATTTCACACAAAATGCGCTTAATCATAACAATAATCAGTTATGATTAAGCGCATTCTGCGTGAAACGTGTTAACTGTCATCCCGGTTTGGAGCTGTGATGTTTGTACACTTTGTAAACTGAGGATTACAATAAATTCAGTTTATATTCCTCATTGTCTAGAGTGCGGTCAGACTGCTCACCTTGATTCCAGATTCTCGCAGCCAAGGATCGGACCAGCACATGTTGGTGTGTGGAGGGGCTGACCAACTAGGCACTCACCTGGAGCTATTTTCCTTTAAAACAGATAAGGTCCCAACCTTTCTCCTATCCTGGTTTGTATATTTGTTCCAGACCAGTGACTCAGAGTCAGAAAGCATTAGAGCCACTGGGTTAGCATAACAGAAAGGCTACTACATTTTCAAAACTGGTCAGCCCTGGCGGCCCCTTCAGTTCTCTTGTGACTGCTTTACATTAACATGCACAATGGCTCTGAAGGCAAAACAGTACTCAACAAATCAGTAAAATGTAAACATAAAATGGTGTAGCTGTAGAAAATAATGTTTCATTAATGCCACACCATCAATAAAAAATATATATATGCAAATAAAAATGTCCAAGTGCAATAGTCTTTTGTGCTTCTTCCTTTGTGCCACTTCAAACACTAATAAACTTTCATAAAGTGTATCCACTCAATGTGCTCACAGACTTTTGTTAAGTGTGTCCACGCTTTCACTCCTCCACCTTCAGTGCTTCACCAACACCAGTTGCGCTCTAACCTGGTATATCCGACCCACATGCAATGTAAGGTCAAAAACAGCATGTAAAAGTGGTCCTCCTGCGCTACCTTCCTGACTGCAATGGCCCAAAAAAGTTGCCGCAAAAACCAAACTATATTCCAAAATAGTGAAAACAAATGAAAAGTGACAGGGTGCTGTGCTACTTAGTACCAGGGGCAGACTGACAACTCATGGGGCTCCCGGGCAATAGGGGATCATGGGGCCCCTGTGTCCTCGCCCTCACCCAAAAAAGCCTATGAAAAAGCCAATGAAAGGTACCAGGAGCATCTCATGGGGCCCCCTACTGACCCCGGGCCCTCAGGCAGTGCCTGAGTGCTAATTGAATAAACATATGCCCCTCATCCAAGTGTAAACATGACATATACAAAGGACATGTGAATGGGTGCGAACAAATAAAAAAAAAAAAACAATACCAACAGCACAAAATACTATAATGTGCTGGTGAACTGAAGCACATTTTATCAACACAATACAGATCATCATTATTATTATGTGTTCACTGATGTCACCAGCACATTATAGTATTTTGTGCTGTTGTTATTTTTTTTGTATGAGGGGCATATGTTTATTCAATTATTTTCGTTGTCATGGTTCATCGTTTATGCACTAGGTAGCGCAACACCCTGTCACTTTTCAAAAACAGCATGAGTTCCCTTTAAATGGACTCCTCTCTCCCCAGCTGGTTGTGTCTCTTGTAATGCTCTCCTTCATGTCACAGCATACAAAAAAAAGACACTCATAGTGCTTCACCTTAAAATACTTTTCTTCACCCACTCGTAAAAAAATGCCACTCACATTTCTTGGTGCATATATCACACCCACATGTAAAAGCCACAATTATAAATGTTTTGCCAGGTATCAGCTCTGGCGAGCTGTCTAAATACCGCACTTCTGGGTTTCACCGTGTGCAGTGTCATCATCCAATAAGCCCCACCCTACGCATTTCATCACCAGGACATGTGACTTCCTCATCGGATGCACTGAGAAATGTCAATGGCATTTTTTTAGGAGTGAGTAAATAAAAAAATTTAAAGGTGAATGTGTTTTTTTTAATACTGTATTTTTGAGCAGAGGAGTATGAGAGGTGCACCCAGCTGGGGAGAGAGGAGTCCATTTAAAGGGAAATCATGCTGTTTTTGACCTTACATCGCATGTGGGTCAGATACACCAGGTGAGAGCACAACTTTTGTTGGTAGAGAACTGAATGTGGGGGAGTGAAAGTGTGGATACACTTAACAAGAGTCTATCAGCACATTAAGTAGATATGCTTGGGAAGTACATTAGTGCTTGAAGTGGCACAAAGGAAGAAACACAAAAGACTATTTCACTTGGACTTTTTGGTTTGCATGATATGTTTTATATTGATGTTTCTGTAAATGTAGTAAAATGTTGTTTTAAACATAGCGCTACACCATTTTACATTTACATGTATGTTGTTTATGCACATATCAGAGTGTCATAAGGTGTTAGCAACTGTTTATGAAAAAATTAATTTGTACTGATAGCAGCACATTGTTTATTGTTCATACACTCACCAAATCAGTGCTGTGGACAATCTTTGAGGAAGGGGCAGCATTCACTGAGTATTTTGTTGGTACAGTGGTGGATTTAATTTGGCTTTCTCCTTGAGGTTGATGGCTGGTGTCTTCTAAAGAAAAGAATGGGGCACTATCCAGGATAGTCTCTGTGACTGGAATTTTGGAGAACTGGTAAGTATGTGCTGGTGTAGAGGGCTGCTGGGGGGTTATTGCTGGTGACTGCGAAGAAATCAAGACAGTCGTGTCCAAAGAAGGAATCTTAAGATCAAGAAGATTTGTGGAGGTAACTGTTTCAGGTTCCTTGGCTGTTTCAGGTTTGTTGACATTGGAATCAAAGATTTTTGGAAAAGTTCCAGTGATGTTTGTTGGCTTTGACTGCAGGAAACTCGGTGGCTCCAGAGAAGATCTCTTTGTACTTCCTCTATCAAACTGTTTTGGAGGGAACAATCTTCTCTCAGAAGTCTTCCTCTTTAGAGAAGGCACCCGGAAGAAGGGCTCCGTTTTTTTCTGTTCCTTTTCTTGTAGGTCAATGTGCCCACGATGTAAGTTCTGCTCTCGCTGTTAAGACAGACACATCAAATACTTGTCATTTAGAGTATTCATTTAGCACATGTAATAAGTGACATGGATACATAATATATAATATCTATAATCTATACCCAGAGACAAGTTATGTCAAACCCCGAAATATAATAATAATCAATTTTTGTTGAAAAGACAAGTTTGGCAAACATTACTAACTTTCTAGTTGAAGTCAAGACAAGTTTGGCAAACATTACTAACTTTCTAGTTGAAGTCAATGGGATCTGAATGTTAAAAAAACAGTAGTGGCCATTTTCTAGGCTAATAGCAGTGGATTGTTACACAAATGACATGGGGAGATGGACATTACCCTGGGGTACATGTTTACAAAGGTTTTAAAAATTCAGTTTGGCGGGGTGCAGAGATTTTGAAAATGACTAAAGTGCGACATTAAAATGCAAAATTCCTTTAACCACTTCAATAATGGGCACTTTCACCCCATTCCTGCCAAGGCCATCCAGCTTTCAGTGCTGTCGCACTTTGAATAACAACGGCGTGATCATGCAACACTGTACCCAAACAAATGTTTTATAATTTTTTGTTTTTATGACTGATAGAGCTTTCTTTTCATGGTAGTTAATCACCACTGGGTTTTTTATTTTTGATTAACAAATGAAAAACAAACAGAAAATTTTGGGGAAATACCAGTAAATGTTTTTCTTAGTTTCTGTTAAAAGAATGTTGCAAATAAGTAATATTTCTCCTTTACTGATGTGTGCTAATGAGGCTGCACTGATGGGCACTAATAGGCTGCACTGATGGAGACTAATGAGGTAGCACTGTTGGGCACTGATGAGGAGGAACTGTTGAGGATGCACTGATAGGCGGCACTGATGGACACTGATAGGTGGCACTGATGGGTACTGATAGGCAGCACTGATGGGCACTGATAGGAGGCACTGATGATCAGTGCCCTGATTATCAGTGTAAAACTCCCCTGTGTGAATTGCCGGTTACCAGCTCTCTTCTCCTCACGCTGTGATAGCTGGCAAGTTTGTATACAATGTGATCAGCTTTGATTGGACACATCATATGGTAAAGGGCGGACGAAGGACACAACAATTACAGAACGCACCACAGAGGGCACACGGGGGGCATGCTTCTGGGAGGACATCCATGGATGCCCTCCCAGGACTGGACGTCTGCGCTGTAGACATAATTTGCCTATAGCGCAGCTGGGAAGAAGTTAAATACTGTGCCTGTCGGATGCCCTTAACTTGCCTGTAATGTGGCACATCTGTCCAATGTATACAACCTACCGAAGAAAAACTGACATTTACAAGGAGAAAAATGCTGTTTAAATTGTCAGTAAATGACAGCTTCCGGCTGCTTAGTTCTGTTGGTTTCTGTCATCTATCCCAAACCCTTATCCTAGAAGAAGATCTGATAAAGATGTTAATGGGGGATGCAAAGACCATTCCAATCACCAAAGCTCATTTTTCCTGCTGATTGGAGAGCTCTAGTTGTGACTTATCTTGTTGGACCTCTGCAAAATGGCCACTGCTTTTACAGAGATTGTAGCAACAGGTGTTGTGATTGATATCAATCTGCATTGCGTGATTGATGACAGATTTATATCATGTATTTTTTTCTTTTTACTGTTTATATTTCATTTTTGGGATTTGATAGGGGTGCTCATTCACATTGGAGGGGGAAGGTGATCTGGGGACCTCCTTATTGTTAAAGTGGAGCTTCCAGAATCTGTTAAACTCCCAATATGCAGATCCCAAAGCCAAGGTTGTGAGGAAGAGACCCTTATCCATATCAACATGGGCACAAGGTGCTGTGCAAAGTCTTTCTCCCCTGGCAAAGTACCCCGGCATGTAGGAAGGCATATGACCTGCTATGGTTCAAGTGGATGATGTGCATCCTTAGTAAATATACAGACATAATTTAATTCAGAAAACAGAACTTCTAGAAGCTGTCTCTTCAAAATAGTGGTGAACAATTTCTAACAGAGCTATACCCATTCAGGAGATTCTCTCAAGAGAAAACCAAGAAAGAGATGATTATGGACAAATGCAATGAAAAACCACAAAAGCTTGTTCTACCTTTGTTATCTTTTTCAGCATTTCAAACTTCTCCCCCTGTGCCATCAACATCTTTTCAAAGTCCTCCTGTTTCTTCAGCAGCTCTTCAACGTGGGCCACAGAATCCTTCAAGAAAATAATTTGGTTTACATATATAACAAAACATGGGCCACATGACTGAATTGAAAAGTCATCATATGGAGAGCCTCACCCCATAGTATTTATCAAGAAGATATGGTTCTCTAGAGTTCAGCCACCCATCAGCCTGTTCTATATCTCTAAACAGCAACTGGATCTCCAGATTTTCTTCATAGATTTCCTTCCTCCTCTTCCAGGTTTCAGAGACCAGGTCCATCAGCTCTGAAAGCTCTTTAACTTTTTCTCCAATCTGAAATTTCAAACTACAATGCATCAATAACTCCAAAACACAAGAGTTTTAATGTAGTCTGAAACCAGGAGTTAAAGACAAGTTCTACCCTATGCTTATAGCTATGGTGTTATGCTCCCACAGTAGATTGTTTCAGTAGCTAGAATTACCAGGAAATCCATCTGTAAGTAAAGCTGGGTATATGCAGTCCGAATATCGGCTGGTTCAAGAGGAACCAGCCAACATTTGGACCATGTGTACAGCTGTCTTTCCAACAGAAACCCTGTCTAAGGACCAGCTTTTGTTGAAGGGACATGCAGGGAAAACAGCATCCGATCAGCACTCACAGCCAATGGCCCTGTCACCACCCCCTGTCAGAACACAAAGGCACAGTGGGAGAGATTGCTGCAGAAACATTGCTTAGTTAGTACAGCGAGCACTCAGTTTTTTTTTTGTTCAGCCCGCTGGATGTATATCAGACTTTAGCCACACCCTTGGAAAAAAGTTCAAAGAGACAAACAATGCTGTATAAATCTTATCAACTAAAGCCTGGTACACACTTCAAGTTACCCAATGGGGTAAACGAAAAAGAAAAAAAAACCTGATCGCTGTACCAACTAAGGGATGTTAGCGCAGCAATCTCTCCCACTGTGCCTTTTTGTCAAAACACACTAATCAGAGCTCACAGCCATTGGCTGCGAGTGCTGATTGGACGCCGGACCCTAGACTGACTTCTGTTGGAAGGACAGCTGTACACATGGTCCCAATATTCATATTCATGTGTACCCAGCTTACCTCTCCAAAAGCTGTAAGAAGCTATTGCATGATTCAACTCATCAGTACCCATTTAGCTTTGTGTAGAGTTGTCATTTAAAATGATGAGAGTATAATGTTGAAGAAAAACTGCCATACATGTAGCTGTGTGCATATTATAAGCAGCTAAATACTGCTCAGTCCCAGTGATGTGTTTGCCTCAGAATGATGTAACTGAAATGATAGCACTTTATTACACAAGCATTATGCAAGCTTCCAAAACATCTACGCTGGGATACATCTGTATTGGACGACAGAGCTCCCCTGTATATAACATCTCAGGGACATCGACAAAAATAGATAAAAGGACTCTCATAGTGTAGTAGGTGCAAAATATTCTCAATTTATTCAGGTTAAAAATGCTCACAAAATCAGAGTAAAATCCATGCAGTATCCTTATAGAGGCATAATCCCCATAGAGGAAATCAATCTCAGTGGATGCCAAACAGTAATCCACTTCCATGTCTCAGTTTACATACAATGTCACCTCCTGTGGCCCCAACTGACACGTTTCGTCATAACAGACATCATCAGGGGGAGTGGCCAAAGGAGGAAACACCATCCATGCTTAATAACGACCAAGATTACGGAGGGGAAGAGAACAAACCCCTGCCCCAACGAGTGGCATGAAGACAACATTCATGTTGCCTAATCACCAGGCAATATCTTCAGCGACAGCCAGAAATATAAGATAACAGGAATTAGGTTTAGCACCATCTTGGGTATATACTAAGCACTGCTTGCTCATTTTGACGGAGACCCATATGGAAAAATGTCAGCACGTAGAGGGGAGAGAATGCCTAATACAAATATTTGTTTAACTAAAAACAAAATCCTTAGTAAGACCTCATCTGGAATATGCAGTTCAGTTTTGGGCACTAATTCATAAAAAAAAAGATATCGAGGAACTAGAGAAAGTGCAGAGAAGGGCAATCAAACATTAAGAGGCACAGAGGAGCTAAGCTATGAAGAAAGATTAGAGGAACTGATTTTTTCTCTTGAGAAAAGGAGATTAAGGGGGATATAATCCTCCAAATGACCCATTTTTGCAAAGCAGACAGAACGAGGTATTTAGTAAGAAGTATGGCGAGTTTTTTTTATTTTTAAATACTGTCACCAGTGCAGTACAGCGTCATACAACTGTAATTTTTTTTATTACATTTTTTCTGATTTTTCTGATTTTTTTTTTTCATAATACACTGACTAGAGTAGTATAATGTTACCATAGTAACATTGTATTACTTTGGGGAAGCAGTCAGTTTTTTTTTCCACATTATGATTGCTTATAGCAAAGAAATTCTTTGCTATAAGCAAGCATTTAACTGAATGAAATCGATTCATTCAAGTTTCTTTGTTGTGATTAGCTGTGATTGGACACAGTAATCACTAGTGCAGACTGCGCCAATCACAGTCCATCTGTGTAATGTGATTAGCTTGAAAGGAAGCCATCCATTGTTTACAACTGTCAGGTGACCTGCTGTGATTGGTCACAGTAAGTCACATGGTACTGGCAACGCGTCGGTACACAAGTCTGTCAGTGGCTGTGTCCAAGGTACACAGCCGGTGACAGATCTCGCCACAGTGTGGCCCCCTCACGCACGCGTGAAGTGTGATCCGGGAAGGATGTCATATGATGCCCACCTGGATCGATGAGAGTCACGCTCAGCCATCATTCTGCTATTGATCGGGCGGGAACAGGTTAAGGTCATCACAGATGACAAGGGGGCACACTTTACGTCTGGAGGAAAAGAAATTTAATCTCCAAATATGGAAAGGTTTCTTCACAGCAAGAGCTGTGAAAATGTGGAATAGTTGGTTCTGGCCAGCTTAGTAGATTGCTTTAAAAGAAGGTTTGGATTCTTTCCTAAATGCACATAATATAACTGGATACTAACATTTATAGGTAAAGTTGATCCTGGGAATATCCGATTGCCTCTCGGGGGATCAGGAAAGATTTTTTTTTCCCCCCTGCTGGAGCAAATTGGATCATGCTTTGCTGGGGGGTTTTGCCTTCCACTGGATCAACTGTGGTTATAGGATTGTGTATATAGGATTGTATATTTTTTTAATTTTGTTTTCCTTTTTATTGGTTGAACTAGATGTACTTGTGTCTATTTTCAACCAGACTAACTAACCATGTAAGGTTAGGTTCACACCTATACATATATGAGGCATAAAAAGTTTACCTCCACTGCCATGAAGTGACGCTTCTCCAAGAAATTGTTTCCTGTTCTTTGCAGATCCTCATATTTGACCCAGTGCTTGTCAATCTCTCTCTTATACTCTTCATGCCGTTTAATTAGTAGTTCGGCACCAGCCACATCATTTGCAAGTTCCTCAGATATCAACAGAGCATGCATCTCTCTTCCCCAGATTCTGATATAGAAAAGAAACACACGATAACGGAAGAACAAGCAGCTTCAGAGACATGGCTGAAGCAAAATGCATGACAATATATTTCATAGTATAGGTGTCACAATCTCCTGTTCCATGTTCCAGCACTGGGTCTTTTCCTCTGTGTATAACCGCCGACCTCCAGCCAACCACAGAGAGAGCTAGCATGCGGATTGCTCAGTGTTCAAGCAACACATCTGCATGCTAGCTGCTGGACCACTCTGTTTTCATCCAGTGTTTTCCTGTGTCTCTGTTATGCTCTACGTCAGTGGTTCTCAACCTTCCTAAAGCCGCGACCCTTTAATACAGTTCCTCATGTTGTGGTGACCCCCAACCATAAAATTATTTATCCAGTAATTATAATTCATGAAGTGTTGTTTTACCTCCAATGCTGCTGCTTTCAACACAGTAGCTGCTTTTAACAGAGTAGCTGCTTTCAACACAGCAGCTGCTTTCTACACAGTAGCTGCTCTTTACACATCGGAAATATGTGTTTTTCCGATGGTCTTAGGCAACCCCTGTGAAAGGGTCATTCGACCCCCAAAGGGGTCGCGACCCACAGGTTGAGAACCACTGCTCTATGTGTACCAGCTTGCTCCCGGGCTATTTTTCCCAGTGTGTCCGAGCCTGCTCCCTGCTTTGTTCCCATTGGTTCCCAGCCTTGTGTCCCTCTGTCTATATCTGGATCTTGGCACTTGTACCTGCATTCTATCTTACTCCATCAGCACTCCTACCTACATTCTGTCGTACTTCACCTCCTTATGTTATTTTCTTTTCACCAGTTACAACCTGCCTCATTATCTGCACCTGTACACTCCCAACCTGTGTTTCTCACTTGTCTCTCAGTGTCTCCCTGTACTCTTTGGCTATTTCTCTGTTTTGTGTGTGTGTCCAGTGCCTCAGCGCTGCAAGAGAGTTCTTTGCGGCTTGCTTGGATGAGTCAGAGGGCTGCAACACAACATCTCCACCTCTAGGAGTTCTGGTGAATACCAGGCAGTATCTTGGACCCTTCTCAGGGCTCTCATTTCTGCCAAGCAAGTGGCCAGCTGAATTCTCCATATCCACTTTATGGTTTTTGTCACCACTCAGTGGCTATCCTAAGTTCTGGTCAGATCCTAGTGGCAGCGTATTTCTAAGCTCAGCAATAGGTGACTTTCACTCTCTTCTGTCCTCTGTGGGCTGCATGAGAACAAAGGCTCACCTCAGCTTTCTGTATCTTTACTCTACGGTTAGGCAAAATTATTACTAGTCTAGTCTGCAATGGGGTAAGCATGGAGCGCACAAACTCTACCAGAAAATACTGTAAGGCAAGCCGTAGATGATGCAATTTTCTTTCCGGCAACCATGGGTTGCTGGAAGAAAATTGTTCAATTCCCCCAACAGTGTTGATGGGGGAATCCCTCTCTAGGAGCTATTGTGTTCTCTTAGTGGGGGGGTTGGGTGGTACGGGAAGCCGTCCTTGCTGGGAGAACACAATGATTATTGCTATTGTACCCCTGCACTATTGCTGGCCATAATTGCATGTAAAAATTCTGGTTGTACCCAAGTCAATTGATGGATCAGGTTGGGTACTATCAGTATGCCCATACACTATATTGCCAAAAGTACTGGGATGCCTTAGTCTTAGTCCGTAGGATTCAATATTGAGTTGGCCCGCCCTTTGGAGTTATAAAAGCTTCAACTCTTCTGGGAAGGCTGTCCACAAGGTTTAGGAGTGTGTCTATGGGAATGTTTGACCATTCTTCCAGAAGCGCATTTGTGAGGTCAGGCACAGATGTCGGAGGAGAAGGCCTGGCTCGCAGTCTCCACTCTGATTCATTCCAAAGATGTTCTACTAGGTTCAGGTCAGGACTCTGTGCAGACCAGTCAAGTTCCTCCACCCCAAACTTGCTCATCCATGTCTTTATGGACCTTGCTTTGTGCACTAATGTGCAGTCATGTTGAAACAGGAATGGGCCATCCCCAAACCGTTCCCACAAAGTTGGGAACATGAAAGTGTCCAAAATGTCTTGGTATGCTAACGCCTTAAGAGTCCCATTCACTGGAACTAAGGGGCCAAGCCCAACCCCTGAAAAACAACCCCGCACCCTAATCCCTCCTCCACCAAACTTTACATTTGGCACAATGCAGTCAGGCAAGTACTGTTCTCCTGGTAACTGTTAAATCCAGAAATGCCCATTGGATTGCCAGACAGAGAAGCGTGATTCATTACTCCAGAGAACACGTCTCCACTGCTCTAGAGTCCAGTGGCGGCATGCTTTACACCACTGCATCTGACACTTTGCATTGCACTTGGTGACTTCTATGAAGCTCTCTACACACTGTTGTTGTGCTAATCTGAAGGCCACATGAAGTTTGGAGATCTCTAGCTATTGGCTCTGCATACAGTTGGCGACTTCTGTGCGCTTCAGCATGCGCTGACCCTGCTCTGTCATTTTACGTAGCCTAGCACTTCGTGGCTGAGTTACTGTTGTTCCCAGTTGCTTCTACTTTGTTATAATACCACTAACCGTTGAATGTGGAATATTTAGTACCAAGGAAATTTCACAGATGAACTTATTGCACAGATGGTAACCTATCACAGTAGCACACTTGAATTCACTGAACTCCTGAGAGTGACCCATTCTTTCACAAATGTTTGTAGAAGCAGTCTGCATGCCTAGGTGCTTGATTTTATACACCTGTGGCCATGGAGGTGATTGGAACACCTGAACCCAATGATTTGGAAGGGTGTCTCAATACTTTTGGCAATATATAGTGTGGATGGTTTGAATCTCAGCCCGACCGTGCTGAACTGGCCGAGATTCAAACCATTTATGGTCAGTTTAAAGTAAGAAAACATTCCTACCCTCTGTACCAACACAATTAAGGACATGTACAATGCTTTTATACATATTTCTTTCTTTAGTTTGGTCAGAACTAAAAAAAAGTTTCAAAACATTTTAGCCATGTAAATATTAAATATTGTATATGATTTTTTTTCAATGTAGCATTGGAACCATTGGGTCTTTTTCCTATGTTTTTCTGGATACCCATAGCTCCTTATGGTAAAGTTGTGTTATTGTAAAATTCCTTTACCCCCTCAATGGAGCAGTGACTCCTCCCCATTACATGGCTTTGTCATACATTTTCATGAGAGCCAGAAAGGGAACTGTTAATGCTGTTCTGTCACTTTCGCTAACTCAAAATACTCATGTATTAAATTTTAATTTGTAAAATCTGTAAAACAAATTTTGTGTAAAAAGTATTTTTTAAATAAAAAAGATAAAACTGACCCAAACCTTTTGGAATTGTTTACCCCTGCAATTGAGGGCAATAAAAGTTCAACTAAACCACAGGGATTTACTGCCCACAAGTTGCATGAGTAAACAATTCCACTCAACCACTCCCTCTTTTGGTGTAGAGGCAGCGGCCAGGGGTGTACTCATGCTGTGGCTGCAACAGGAACTATACTCCCAGACATGCTCCTGTGTACTCCAGTTTTAGTAAATCCACCCCATTGCCAAGCATTTTTAATCACAGCAAAATGTATCGACTTTGGAAATCTTTTTCAATGCAGCCTGTGCAAATAATACAAAAAAATTTTGGCCTTAAATACTTTAAAGGGAGCTCTTCTAGAAATACTGTGGTGGCTGGCATTGCTCTTCAGTCATTTTTTCCTTCTATGCAGACATAACACATTTTGGAAACAAATAGCAGATTTTATTCTGGTGTATCTATTTAGGAACCAGGAGACGATATACAGACTCTGTATGATCCCACAGAACACTTACATCAGCTCCCCGCAGTCACTGAAATACCGCTGTACTTGTTCTGCTTGGTTTAGTCTTTCTCTCCTTTGCTGAGATTTTTGAACTAGATTCCCCCAGGACTTTGTCACTTCTTCCAGTCTCTTTGAAACATTCTTCTGGACTGGTGGATGAATCTGGCTGACATGCTGGCCGAGTTTGGTAACTTGTTCCATTTCCTTTTTAATGGCTTGCAGATCTCTCTGTAATATACAGCACAGGTAGATATGTGTAAAACATCATGTAACATAATTTGGTGAGTAATGGCATGCCAATGCAAATAGCACATATCTGGATTTGAGTGATCTTACAGTGATCTTGCATACACCATGACAAATGTGTATTTTATTAAAAACAGATTGTCTAGTCTAGATATCAGTTCACCAAAGGTAAAATAATTAAAACTCTTGTCCATGTGGTACAGGACCCCGGCTTGTAATACAAAATTGATCCTTCTCTCTCCAGCCACTGTTGGAGATGCCACCAAGTGGCTTATAGACTCCTACATGTGTGGTGGGATTGTCCACTGATCCAACCTTTCTGGCCTGATGTCCATCCCATTATTCTCCAATTAACAACCGAAGCCCTAACTTACCCTCCAGCACAGTACTTACTACACCACACAGTACTTCCCCTGAAGGTCCAGCACAAGTCACTTGTGATGCACTTGATCAATGCGGCCAAGGCATGCATACCGATACAGTGGGGTTCCTCCAAAGTCCCATCTCTTGTAGAATAGGTTAAATGAATTTCCAGAGTCTCCAAAATGGAGAAATGAATACATATTGCCAAAGATTCCCCTTCCAAATTCACAAAAACTTGGGCCTGCTGGCTCCATTTTCAAACAACCGATGCGTTCCACTAAATACTAACAGCTATTCCTGACCACACACGCCAGCAGTCACGATAATCCTGACCGACCTATCCTCCCGGAGAACTCTAATTGACTAATCTCCAGAAAGTAATGACAATTTTCTATCTCTTTCAGTCCCATACTTGTATGGCAGCATATTACGAACCACATACAGGAATGTAAGGGATGGCCCGCCCCCTTACTCCACATAGGCGACCACCCCCAGCTTCTACACATCTCTCTGGTACAGCACCCTCCTCTTTCCTAAGACTTTAGTTTCCCTCCCCCCCCCCCCCCCTTTCTCTTCTCCTCTCCCATTGACCACAGTGCAGATATTTAAAAATGTTACCACCTTGTCGCAGTAGATACCTCTGTGGCTATGTCAAATCTGAGGTCTCTCGTAATATTGTAAGATATTACCAAGCCTCCTCCTCTTTTTTGTACGCTATAATACACTGCCCTGATAGAATCTTGACGCCACGTTTTAAATATTCTTCTGATGCCATCAGCAGCTTGGCTTGGTACCGAAACAGGGTCTTGTATACCTGCCTGAAGTTTTTCTTTATCAGTTTCACTGTAAACCCTTTTGTTTATACTTTATTTGTACATTGTAATGCTTTACTTGATGTTTATTTCCAATAAAACTTGTTTGGATAAAAAAAAAAAATTAACACATTTTGTTTAAAGAAGCTCATACTAATATACCTGTGCTAAAACCTGGAAAATGAGAAATATATATTGTTAGTAGTTACAGAGAAAAACTGACCTAATACAACCCTCTTGTTTGATTCTGGCAAAAACGTCTGTGATTAATATTGTACCTCTAACAGTTTTCTATTTAAGCATGTTTGGGGCATTTTTTTCAGTAGAAACGCAGGGGAATACAGTTTTGACACCTCCAGCACAGAATGTATGTAATGGCAAGGGGTACTGGGTTGTGCTGGAGGGTCTATTGTTGCTGGGTGAGATCTGTTGTTGCAGGAAGGGTCCATTGTTGCAGGCTGCTGGAGGATATATTGATGCTGACTGCTGGGAGATCTATTGTTGCTGGCAGGGGTCTATTGCTGCTGGGGAGATCTATTGTTGGCTCACGGGGGTTCTATTGTTGCTGGGGGGGGTTTTATGTTGCTGGGTGGGATCTAGTGCTGAGAGAAGGGTCTATTGTTGCTGGCTGCTGGGAGATCTGTTGTTTATGGCAGGGGTCTATTGTTGCTGGGAAAGTCTATTATTGCAGATGGGGATTCTATTGTTGCTGGGGGGGGTCTTGTGTTGCTGAGAGAGATCTACTATTGAGGGAAGGGACTATTATTTCAGGCTGCTAGAGGGTCTATTGATGCTGGCTGCTGGAAGATCTATTGTTGCTGGCAAGGGTCTATTGTTGTTTTGGTGAATATATATCACTCACAATCCTCTGTGAATGAGACTACAAGCCTTGACAGCCTAAGCTGTGGAGCGCCGTGGTAGTTTATTCATTCTTCCTGTCACAGTATATCTGCTTGCTCGTACATCCCATATGGACAAGCAGATATACTGACAAATCTGCAGGAGACCTGCATGGCACCAGCGATCTGCTGATCAATGGTGCAATCCTTTACAGGCTCCTGCAGACAAAATAATAAATGCACATTTTTTTACCTGCAAAAATTTACATTTATTATTTTTTACTAAAAGGCGAACTTATCCTTTAAGGAGTATATTTTCAATTTCCATAAAACTCTGTGTTAGTATAAAAAGAAAACTCTGTTACTGTCTAAATAATGAAAGCTTAAAGCTGGGTTTCCTTAAACCAGGGGAGCTCAACCCATGGCCCACAGGCCACATGTGGCGCAGGGAGCCCTCTGATGGGGCCCACGACCTCAAACCAGGGAAGCGCATGCCCAGGGTCGCAATCTGGGCTTGCCAACTCATCATCGCAGAACATCAGAGTGCATGGAGCCAGCAGCAGAGGAAGCAGGAGCTAAATAAGCCAATGTTTCCTTTGTAGTCTCAGGCGGACTGATACCAACTGCACTTTGCCTCTAATCCTTTCTTGCAGCCTGGAGAGCGATGCCAGCAGCATCTGCTATAAGAAAAGAAGGTCAGTGTATTAAACACACATAAACTGGACATAATAGCTTTTGCAATGGGCATATTAGTACTTATAAAAGGGTGAACAACTAATAAGCTGCTTTCACACTGATCCACAGGTGCAGCGCAGTGCATCTGCGGCTTTCCTGAGGGTTAGCTGCACTGAGCCATTGACTCACATTATATCCTGCGGGTTTGTTGCAGGAGTTTTGATGTGTTTTCAAAAAGTGCACCACACCCACAAGATGTAATAGAAGTCTAAGGAAAGTACAGCTAAACGACAGGTAAACTGCTGTGCATCAGTGTGCAGCCTTACAGGGGGCTCACGACAGTAAGGAGTTGTTTACATTTGCAGTTTGGGGGCGGTAAAACCCCATCATTCATCGTGGCCCACAACTGGTTACCAAATCACTTAAGTGGCCCTCTCTCTTCAAAAGGTTGAACATCCCTGCATTAAAGTGAATTTTAAACAATGCCTGCCCTAGCATTTACTGAAGAAACCTGCCATATAAAGTACAACTTCAGTCAAAAAATTAAGTCCTGTTAGATCACTTCAGGCTGGCCCCTTTTACAGGCATAGCTACTGTATGTAAAACATTAAAAATAAGTCCCTACACTGTTTAAAATCCACTAATACCCTGTCTAACCCTGCTCTGCACATGCTCATTTTCTCTCTATATCTTGGCACTGTGCCAAATTTGTAGAGGCCAATCTGCTCACAGCCTAAAGATTTATAACTACTCAAGGGCTCTGGGCTTCAGCAAAATGGTGGTCATCAGCAAGAAGAAACAGGAGCAATACTGGAAGCAATTTGCAACACACAATTTTAGTTGCATAATTATTAATATGGAATGTACACTATATTGCCAAAAGTATTGGGACGCCTGCCTTTACATACACATGAACTTTAATGGCATCCCAGTCTGTAGGGTTCAGTATTGAGTTGGCCCACCCTTTGCAGCTATAACAGCTTCAACTCTTCTGGGGAGGCTGTCCACAAAGGTTTAGGAGTGTGTCTATGGGAATGTTTGACCATTCTTCCAGAAGCGTATTTGTGAGGTCAGGCACTGATGTCGGATGAGAAGGCCTGGCTCGCAGTCTCCGCTCTAATTCATCTCAAAGGTGTTCTGTCGGCTTGAGGTCAGGACTCTGTGCTGGCCAGTCAAGTTCCTCCACCACAAACTCGCTCATCCATGTCTTTATGGACCTTGCCTTGTGCACTGGTGAGCAGTCATGTTGGCCATCCCCAAACTGTTCCCACAAAGTTGGGAGCATGAAATTGTCCAAAATGTCTTGGTATGTTGATGCCATAAGAGTTCCTTTCACTGAAACTAAGGGGTCAAGCCCAACCCCTGAAAAGTAACCCCACACCATAATCCCTCTTCCACCAAACTTTACACTTGGCACAATGCAGTCAGGCAAATACTGTTCTCCTGGCAACCGCCAAATCCAGACACATCCATCAGATTGCCAGACAGAGAAGCGTGATTCATCACTCCAGAGAACATGTCTCCAGTGCTCTAGAGTCCAGTGGTGATGTGCTTTACACCACTGCAGCTAACGCTTTGAATTGCACTTGGTGATGTAAGGCTTGGATGCAGCTGCACGGCCATGGAAACCCATTCCATGAAGCTCTCTGTGCACTGTTGTTGTGCTAATCTGAAGGCCACATGAAGCTAATCTGAAGGCCACATGAAGGTCTTTAGCTATTGACTCTGCAAGCAGTTGGCGACTGACTTCTGTGCACTGTAGCATGTGCTGACCCCGTTCTGTAATTTGATGTGGCCTACCACTTCGTGGCTGAGTTGCTGTTGTTTCCAGTTTCTTCCACAATGTTATAATACCACTAACAGTTGACCGTGGAATATTTAGTAGCAAGGAAATTTCACAGATGGACTTACTGCACAGGTGGCAACCTATCACTGCACCACGCTTGAATTCACTGAGCTCCTGAGAGCAACCCATTCTTTCACAAATGTTTGTAGAAGCAGTCTGCATAACTAGGTACTTGATTTAATATACCTGGGGCAATGGAGGTGATTGGAACACCTGAATCCAATGATTTGAAGGGGTGTCCCAATACTTTTGGCAATATAGTGTATGTTCCTTGCTAAAGAACATTATTTTTTATCACGTTGTTATAAGTAAAGTTGTGCTTTAACGTGTCACCTTGTATAGTACTAAGGAAAACCATGTGTCTGTTCACTTTAATGGCCACCTATGCTGCCCACAGGGCATTAAAAAAAATAAGGTTTATACACCAGCACCTACAGCATGGGGCACCTTCTACTGTTTTAGTTCTGAGTGCAAGAAGAGAACTAAACCATACACCTGTGAGTTGAGGTTAGGATGTCAGTTGGTCTGACCTTCAGTGGAAATGTACATTTGCTGAAAGCTTGCCCAGGCTTATCTATCTAGTGAATCGATGCCAAGTCACTGGTTACACTGTTCAACAAATTTTTATTTTTTGCCAGTTTTGGAAACAAAAGGATCCATTTCTTAATGAATTTAACATTCTGAGTTCAAATATTACAATGAAATTTGTCAATTGGCTCTAGTTTTTCTGTAAACGGAAAGTTTTCTACTATAGGCGTAATGACTACATAATGCACAATAATTATATAGATAGATGTCTTTCCACAAATATAAAGCAAGTGATATTGACTACATAACAAAGCCTAAATGGCATAATATATTGCATAGGATTACCAAGAAAAATTATAGCCATAAGCTAAGTTGAATCATTTTAATACTTAGGATTCTCACTAGTTTTGTCTTCAGTTTGTGTCGGTTTTGCTTCTCTTGGCTTTTCTCTTGTATTCGAGGAAAGGGCTATCTCTTACAACTGCACGTGACTACACGCTTCAGGTTCTTCCTCACTTGACTCAACCACGAAGGATTCTGGTGCTTTAGGAATTGGTAGCCCCTCTCCATGAGGAACTGGACGTATTGCCGATGGAATATTTGGATAGTGCACAGATAACTTTTTCTTCTTATTTAGCCCTTTTACAATTGGAGGCACCATACAAAAGTAACAATTACTAACATGATCTGTTGGCTCTCTCCAAATCATTGGCACAGCGAAAGGCATAGATGCCTTTTTTCCCATTCAACCATTGCTCCAGTGCCGTCCCACAAGAATTGCAGCATATATGTGGTGCCCAGCTCTTGTCCTGGTCTCCTATCTTGCAGCCAAAATACAAGTTGTAGGCTTTCTTAATCATTCCTGTTATCCTCCTTTTTGTGAGATAAAAGTTATTTCACCGCAGATATAGCAGAAATTATCTGCTTTATTCACACAAGTTCGAGGCATTACTGAGTAGCCTATATAAGCATAAAACGAAATGTAAAGACGCTGTCGAACTACAATCAGCTACAGATACTGCAGCTTTTATGCAGTGAAGTGATGCAATTAAAGGCTAATATTGCATCATCTCAGTATACATGCAATTTTCTATTGGTCACCAATATCAATTGCGCAATATGCAGCTGAAGTTGCATCATAATTTTGAATGGCTTACGTCATTAGATGGGTGAATATATCATGGAAACTAGAGCCAATCAACATTTTTTAGGGTCATTTTCATTTTCAGCACCCCAAAATTATGTAAGATTAGCTAATTTTATGCCCAAAACTTTTTACCTGTTGAACAGTGTTATCGAAAAGAATCATGTACATATCATCAGAACAACACTAGCACTGTCCATATATATATTTGGTGCTATAATCATTGAGATGTTGCAGATATTGGATCTTGCATATGAAAGTCCTTAGTCTAATCACACAGTTCTGGAAGTCTGATAAGAATGATGAAGCCTCTTTGTCTGAAAATTCACCACTTTGTATTTGTGAAGTGTCCTTTGATCCAATGATACGGAAGAGACTTATTGTTGTATACATAAGGGCAGGTGTAAAAGCTAATGCCCCTACCAACAGAAGACAGGAATGCAAGCTCAAAAACTTGTACTTTAGTATTTCACACACTCACCTCAATTCCCTCATGCTGGCTAAGCAGGGTCTGCACTCCAGTCAAGTCATAGCCATAATCATCTGTATCTACAGCAACCTCCTTCTCCTGCATCCAGCATATCAATTCATCAACATCATGACCAAACTGATGGACCTGGTGAACTTTTGTCAATATCTGAAAAAAAAGAGGGAAAATGTACATTGCTAGTTTGTTTAGATCATAATCAGATACACTGTATGGCCAAAAGTTTGTGGACACCTTATGATCACAAATGTAGAAGCTATTACTAGATCACAGTCCAAAACCATGGTTATGAATATGGAATTCCAAACCTCACTGCCTTTCTGGCTATACCAGCCTTCACTCTTCTGCAAAGGCTTTCCTCAATACTTAAGAGTGTCTGTGGGAATTTATTCTTATACAGCCAAAACAAAAAAAAAAAAACTGATGTGAGGTGGGAAGACTTGGTTTGCCATCACCATTGAAATTCATGCCAAAGGTATTCAGTAGGGTTGAGGTCAAAACTCTGAGCAAGCCAACCAAATTTATTCACTCCAAACTCATCATGCCATGTCTTTATGGCTTTGTGCACAGGGTGCAGTTATAATGGAACAGAAAAAGGGGTTTATTCAAAGGGTGGAAGCATACAATTAATAGACCCTTAACTGGAAACCTTCACCTGAAAACTATAATTTGAAGGGGTTCACATATTTTTGACAATATAGGGTAAATCACATCTGCTGAGCTGTAATGACAGCATGGAAATTAGTGAGTAAAGCTATCCTAGCCCAATATTTATCCTAATGTTAATAAATAAAAACAATAATAACATAATCAAATAAAAAAATAAACACTACTTACCTAGATCAAGGTTTGATCTAGGTCAGTGCCAGGGTTAGTATTTGGGTCAAGGTCGGGGTCAAAGGTCAAGGTCAGGGTCAAGGATCAGAGTTAGTACTTATTTTTTAAATTTTTAAATTAATATTAATGTCAGCTAGTGGCAGGATAAAAAAAAAGCAAAATGCACACTATTGTATCTGGACCGTACTACGGGTACAAACAACAACTAACATGCACATATGTGGTATCGCTACAATTGTCAGGAGCAGGAGAAATTATTATGGATTATTCTCTGGTGGTTGGTTATGGTAGTAGCAAGAAATATACAACTAAATAAAAAAAGTTTTTTTTTTTTTTTACTATTTTTTCCTTTGATAATAAAAAAAAAATCAGGAGATATCCATTACCATTTATCACCAAATGAAAGTACAATTTGTCCTGAAAAAAATAAGGTACACTCCACCTGGATGCACAAACTAGTTGTGATGATATGTACAGTTTCACTAACACATTTCAAAGTTGAAAAATTGTGCTTAGGCTTTAAGATTTAATTTACCCTTAGGTGTGAAGGGGTTAAAATATGTAAATGGTTTAATGTGCATATTCTGGGCACAGGGGCACTTTACAGTCTCAGCAGTAATCCTAGCCCTAATGTTAGTATATCCTGAATGTAAAAAGGGTTTTCTATATACAAATATATTTCACCATTCAGCAATCTCCCAAAATGAGTGTAGTGTTTATTATTACTTTATAATTGTGATTCATACAACAAGGATGGAAATCCAGCTACAAGAAAGAGACGTTACCTTAGCTCTATTCTGTATTGCACGGCATAGGGCATCCCAGGCTCCGTTCACCTCCTCTGCCTTCTTCTTGATTTCTTCAGCCTGACTGTGTGACTCTTTCAACAGTCCTGTTGTCAGTCCATTCAGTGACAGAACTTTACCCTTACCCAGGGTCTCTACTTCCTTAACAAAGTTCTCAAACTCCTTTTCCAGGGCCTGGAGGATGTAAATTAAATTGGTTTAGCAACCCAGTAGGCATCTCAATGACAGTCCCTGTACAGCACTTGTGAGCAGGCCATGGTGGCCGCCTCCTCATGGATGCCCCCAAAACCCTATTCTCCAAAGTATTTACTGCAAATAAATTCATAACAAATTTTTATAATTTGTCATTTTCTACAGCCAATTTTTAATTCCACCCACATCCTTAATCTTTTCAGCTGCAGAGCAGCTTAATCACCAACTCACTACAAGCCTGAAGTAGCAGCACCCCACTGATGAGGTCATCACTCTGCCCTTTCTTCATGTCACAACTAGAGATGAGCGAATCGAAGTATCCGAAGTGGAATTCGAGTCGAATATCGGAAAAATTTCGATTCGTGCCGAATCCGAAAAATAGCCTAATTCGGACGCGCGAATCGAAATTTTTCAGAAAATGGCGGCTGACATGTGCGGCGACGGAGCGGGGATGTCTGGGAAGGCGCGCAGACAAGGCGCGCTGACCCATAATGCATTCCTCAACTACATGTGATCGCATCAGCCAATCAGCAGCCAGCCAGCCAGCACTGTGTAATGGTCGAGCTATAAATAGCGGCCATTTTGGAATTCTTCATTTGCCTGCAGTTATTGAACAGAGGCAGACCGCTCTGTACTAGGGACAGGGACAGAGTTAGG